AACAGAGGAATTTCAAAAGGAGAAGAGGGAAACCAGTATGTTAGAGCTCATCAAGATATTTGTTTCTGTTGGCCATTAATATTGTTTTAGTAATACTAAGGCAATAATAGTAACCTTCTTGTGTTAGACTTGAGGAGGGGAAATGACAATATGGATACCATGTTTAGGCCACAGCTTGGAAAAGTTACATGTTTGCATTGCACCTCCCAGAATCCCACAGACACTATGGCCAATGGGAAGGGGTTATGCTCGATGTCAGAGTACATTTGTAGTCCAAAAATATAACTTTACAAACGATTGCTCCCTGTTCTAAGTCACACAGCTTCACAAACATGGAGGAATAACCTCCTCATCAGCAGCAGTGTCATCTTAGAACTGCAAAGTTGGAAAGGATGCTACGGATCATCAAGTCCAGCCCCTGTCAAGGAGGCACAAGTGGGGAATCAAACTCCCAGTCTGTGGCTCCACAGTCAGATATCTAAACCACTGGGCTAACTTCCCCAGTGGAGATGGATCTCCTACCCAATGTAGATAAGAACTGTGAAAGATGAGATTTTTAGATCACAGAGACAGCCTCCATGAGTACAGAAGGTTCCTCTGTGCAGATGTCCTGTACCACATTCACAATCCCAAGAACAACGTGGAACAAACAACCATTTTGTGTCTCAGTTGACCCTTTAACTAAGTAATGTATAGAGAGTTGCTGCTCTTGCAAGGGGTCAACAGAATCCAAACAATCAAGCCTGACAATTCAGTCACCATATTTCCCTACTGCATTTCCCCCCTTTTTCTCCTACAGGGTTGGTCCAGGGGAAACTAGATTTTTTTAAAAATGGCTCCTTGCACTTCTGTTGATTCTCCATGCCAGTTAACACATTTTCTGTTTGTACTGTGTTTCTCTCCTGCTGCCAGATGGGAAGAGAGAAACCTATTTGAGCATTATGCAACTGGGAAGCCTAAACATTTGAGGAGCATTCTAGCGCGTCTTGTGAACAAGGTGACTGTCCTTGGAGGAACGTCTGTCCCAGAAATGAGCTCTGTCTGTCTACCTTCTCCTCTCAGTCCTTCTTACTAAAAGTTTCTACACTGAAGGAGACCAAAAAGGTGAATACAAGGAATTAGGACCACAGTCGAAAAGTCACTAGTCTCCAGAATAAAATTCAAACAGAGATATGCCAGTTTCCTTCCCTCCTTATCTTTAAAAAGATGGCAAAGACCAAATTATTTAAAGCTGCCTTTAATAACAGAATCTCTGTGGTGGTATCTATAGCAACTTTAAAAAGCTGAGCCATGATGGAGCCAAGCCATCCTGGGATGCCAGGGGAAAGAAAAAGACAGCAGCAGCTCCAGAGACATAGCAGCAGGGAGGCAACACACAGAAATCATGGGTTTTTCTCCACAGACTTGAACTAGCAGATGGCTGGTAAGCATGTAGAAAATGTAGGATTTTTTCCATGTGTCTGTTAAAATATGCTAAAAGGCTAAGAAATGTATTTCAAGTTTTCTTGATTTTTTATTTTTTACTAGGTTATTTGTTTTCAACAACTCTGAAGTATATGCTTATAGAACATAGAAGCAATATAGTTAATAAAGCTTGTAGAATTGAACAAGCTAATGTTGTTTGGATTAATTTTTCTATTATCATGAATGAAAAAAGTGGTTTATTCTCATCCTCTGAAGAGAGATGGATTAAGATTGGAAGCTACATTTTTGGTAAGCCAGCCAGGATACCAGATTGATTAATTACTATGCCTTGACATTTTTGGCAAGCCAACCAGGAGCAGGTAAATGACATAAACCTTGATACCCAGATTAACTTTGATATGACTGTCATAATTATCTGGTTCACAGTGGTATTTAATCTTTCCAGGGATATATGTTAGCTGTGATGGGCCACCACAGACTTAAATTACCATTTTTTTAAAAAAATAAAATTCTATAGTGCTCTGGGTGTTTTGTTTGAGTATTGTACTTCAGACTGTTGTGAATTGGTTAACCACCAAAGGACATCTTGATTTCAATGCAAGAATGAAACAAGCATTTTTAAATATATATATATATATTTCACAAATTGTACATAATTTCTCTGCACAAAAGTAGTGTATTTCACTTTTGTATAGCAAAGCATATGTGAACACAGCAAGCACAGAAGGACTAACTGGTTGACTAAAAAAAAATGAAAAAAAGGAAACAATACATCCAACACTTTTAATTTTTAAAATTCTGTGCAATAAGGCTGCAGTTGGCATACTTTATGTACAGAATTTGCATAGTTTACACATTACACACAGAAAACATTCTCACAAGTGCAAGAATGCTCATGGAAAACTATGCAGCAAGCAAAAAAACAAAACAAAAAAAAAACAAAAACAAAACCCCTGCATCCTCCATATTTAACACCAGTCAAGCAGGATTGCAAACTGGGAAAAAAAATCTCTTTCCAACCACTAGGCAATACTATTAATTTTATTTAAATTGGCTTCACCTAGTGGGTAGACTACGTTTTATCCTAATTCTCTGGTTGGTTGGTTTGTTTGTTTTGGCTGCATATCTGACCTCCCTTCCTAGGCAAATGGGAACCTTGAATTTCAAAAGAAGGCAGTGGAGAAGATGGAAATGCTGCATAGCTGGCAGCTCTTTGTTTGATGAGTTGGGAGAGAGAATCCAACCAATTGCCACATGTTTGCAACCTGCATTTTTGAACTCACATTTAAGAAAACATTTCACATTGACATCTGCCATGACTTTTGGAATCTTCCTGGTTTTTTTCTGCACTATCCATAGTATATTGGTGCAAAGGCTGATGAAGACTAGCATAGGTCGAAAGCTAGCTGTAAAAAAAGTTATTGTAGTAGTCTAATAAAGGTATCACCTGCCCTTGCTTTTGTAAAAAATTTGCAGTGTGTCTTATTTTTGCACACATAAATACCACAAATGAAGCCTTCATGAATACAATCACAGATGAAGATTTACATCCTAATGTACAGGACAAACTAACTCAGTTTTCAACACACAAGTGGGGCTTATTTAGCATGCAGGCATTACCAAGGCAGGTGGCATAACATCCACTACTATTTGTCAGTGGGCATCTCTCTCTCTCTCTCTCAGGAGCATTCATTTAGACCACACATCCTGTTTACCAGCAAACAATCCACAAAGATAAACATTCTGAATCTACCTTTTCAAACACAAAGAAAGCAGATGCCAAAGAATACTTAGTCTCTTGAAAGTATTCCATCCTATGTGCATTCTTGCTTTCACTCTCTCTCCCATTAAACCTTAGAATCATAGAAAAGTGAAGTTGGAAGGGGCCTACAAGGTCATCAAGTCCAACCCCCTGCTCAATGCAGGAATAAAATCAAAGCATATCTGCCAGGTGATTATCTAAGTTTTTCGTGAATGCCCCGTGTTGGCGCACTCATCAACTCCCGAGGTAACTGGTTTCACTGTCGTACTGCTCTAACAGTTAGGAGGTTTTTCCTGATATTCAACCGAAATCTGGCTTCCTTTAATTTGAGCCCACTGTGTGTCCTGCACTCTGGGATGATCAAATGATTGAATGTTTGATTTCTAACTGGGATACAAATCAAAAACCCAAGAGGAAGTGGGGAAGAAAAATTGAAGTGGAGTAGCTTCAGTCTTCCACACCAAATTTGTATCTGCCTCAGGGTCAAATAAATACGTAGCATGACATTAGAAACAGTGCTCCTTCAATCATGAAATATATCTGTTTGTCACAGCATATTATCTTCTAGACATTCTAGCAAGCTTTATTTTATAATTGGTTATTTAAAGGGAACTTTGGACTTAAATATAAAGGTAAACATGGAAAGTCTGATTGGACTTAAATATGAAAGTAAACATGGAAAGTCTGATTGCTGAGACACCTCTGAAAAAATCACCCTGTGGAAGGAAAAATGGGCTGATCACAGGGAATATGTATCTCCCTTAACATTTATTTAATTAGGCTCTGAAGCTTCAGGAGTATATTTTCTCTATATAGCAGTAGCAAACAGCTTGGACATAAAGTGTTGTTCTCTTCAGTATATGAAATTAATACAGCAAAGAAACTTTAGTCTAGTCTTAGCAAATTGATAATGCAGGTGCAGGTTTTCATGCCCAACGTGCATAATGTATTCGGCTCTGCTGTACCAACAGATATGCACATTCTTTCTTGAGGAGTGAAGGCCATATTCGGAGTGGCAAAAATAAAGTCATGGCCCAATGTTTTTAATATTGTTATAGGTTTACCCATATTTTAACATTTTTAATTACGATTTTAAATATAGGTTTTTTTTGTTTTTTTTTGCTGTTGGACACCATCTTGAGTCCCTGTCTTGGGAGACGAGTGGGATATAAATAAAGTCAGCCAGTCAGTGGACATGGAGACATCTTTGCATGACATGACCAGAGTTCTCGGCCAAAGTGCTGGGTGGATCTTCTCTATCTGCTGCTCTCCTTCTCCCATCCCTTTTCTTAAACAGGAAAAAGGAAGAATTCATGTGCTTACAAGCTGCCATATGTGTGTGCCAGGTAAGAATGCAAAAGGGAAGAAAAAGACGGGTTACTTACCTGTAATCATGGTTCTTCAAGTGGTCATTCTGTGAATTCACACAAAAGGGTTAAGTCAGCGCCAGCGCTGGTCTCCTCGGAATGTTCTTGAGCTCTGTAGAGAAAGAAACATAGCTTAAGGCTGCCTATACTGTGCATGCTCCGCCCGCCCAAGCCTCAGTTCCATTTATCCGTCAGAGATACCCAACATGAGCTATATGTATTCAGTGACGGATAGTGGGGAGGCCGGGCGGGATTGTGTGAATTCACAGAATGACCACTTGAAGAACCATGGTTTACAGGTAAGTAACCCGTCTTTCTTCATCGTGGTCTTCTGTGAATGCACACAAAAGGGTTATTAGCAAGCTTACTCACCGGAAGGAGGGCCGTCACTGAAGGGCGGAAGCCAATACAGCTCTCCCGAACCTCGTTTCTTGCTTGGCCCTCAGGTCCAACCTGTAATGAGAGATGAAGGTGGACACTTGGGACCAGGTGGCCGTCCTGCAGATATCAGGTAAGTCGATGCCATGCAAGAGAGCTGTAGAGGAGGCAACCGCTCTGGTAGAATGAGCACGCAAACCTTCAGGCAGTGTCCTGTGTTTGAGTTCGTAAGCCAAAGATATTGTGGCAACAAGCCATCTAGAAAGTGACGAGGGTGAAGCTGGGAGACCTTTTGTCCAAAATACAGTGCCCCGCATAGCGACGTTAATCCATTCCAGGATTAACGTCGCTATCCGGATTCTTCGCTATCTGGGCGGGGAAAACCCATAGGAACGCATTAAACTCCGTTTAATGCATTCCTATTAGGGAAAAACTCACCGATAAGCGAAGAATCCTGGATCTGGCCGCCATTTTCGCTGCCCGGTAACGCGAAAATGGTGCGGGCGGCCATTTTCTGCACCCGGTGGCCATTTTGGAACCGCCAATCAGCTGTTTCCAAAATGGCCGCCGGGTGCAGAAATGATCGCAATGTGATGTTTAGCCTATCTAAACATCACAATGTAATCGCATTAGTGACCCCAAAAAACGGGTCACTATGCGGATTCGTCGTTAAACGGTGTGCTTGTTAAGCGAGGCACCACTGTAACACAGAAAAAGTTTAGGAGACAATCTAAAGTCCTTAGTCTGTGAAACATAAAAGGAAAGTGCTCTCCTAACATCCAAAGAGTGGAGCATGTGCTCCGTGTCATTGGCAGGTTTTGAAAACAAAGTAGGCAGTATGAGAGGTTGGTTTAAGTGAAATTGGGAGAAACGAGACATCAGTATGCAGTACCACTTTGTTGTGAAAAAACTGTAAGAAAGGTTGATCGGCTCGAAGGGCAGCAAGCTCTCCAGCTCTGCGAGCAGATGTGATAGCCACCAAAATAACACCTTGAGGGACATCTTTAGATCACAGGAAGCAAGCAGTTCAAAGGGTGGGCTCATTAGTGAGTGTAGCACCAAATGAAGCGACCATTGTGGTACGGGTGGTTTAACCGGGGGTCTCAAATGGGTGAGTCCTTTGAGGAAGGCTTTAATCGTAGGGTGAGAAAACAAGCAGGAAGCAGGAGAATCTCGAGGTTGGAAGGAGACGATGGCCGCAATGTAGACTTTCAGAGTGGAGATCGATAATTGAAAATCGAACAGGTAATGCAAGAACTGCAACAATGTGGAAAGAGAGACCAGAGAAGAAGAAAGGCCTCTGGATTCTGTGAACTTAAGGAAACTTTTCCATTTGTAACTATATAACAAGGAGGTTGAAGTCTTCTTGGACTTGTCTATGATTTCCTTGATCTCGGGGATATTTTCCATGCAGTGAGGTGAATCGTGTTCAGATCTGGGTGGAAAATTCTGCCTGAATCCTGTGTGAGTAGATCGGGAGAACGCGGAAGTCTCACATGATCTGTTGCCATTGACACTAAGGTTGGGAACCACGGCTGATGAGGCCAGAAGGGTGCCACTAGAATCGCCTCTGGAGACTCCTGATGGAGCTTCACTAGTGTCTTCTGTACCAGAGGAAATGGGTAGAGTAGGCCCACTTTTCATGATATCATAAAGGCGTCCCCCATTGATCCTTCTCCTCGTCCTGCCCTGGACGCATAGCGTGGTCATTTCGCATTCTGTTGAGTGGCAAAAACATCTATGACAAGTGTGCCCCAACGGTGACACAGGTCGTGAAAGACCAAGGCATCCAGTTCCAATTCGTGCATTTGGCTCTTGCGCTGACTGAGTTCGTCGGCTAGGGCATTGTCCTCCGTCGACACGTGAACTGCTACCGGAAAAATATGATGACGGTAGCACCACTCCCAAAGCATCACCGTCAGGAACAGAAGAGAGTGAGAATGTGTGCCCCCTTGTTTGTTGATGTAGTACATGGCTGTAGTGTTGTCTGTGACTATTTGAACACCACGACCATGTACTAGGGAGAAGAAAGCTTTGAGAGCCTTCATGATTGCTAGAATCTCCAGGTGGTTGATGTGAAACTGTTTTTCCTGGAGTGACCGGAGGGCATGCATATGATGGTTTCCGCAGTGAGCCCCCCATCCGGTAGGGCTCGTATCTGTGGTAACTTGTACGGTCAAAGTCAGAGGGCGGAACGGACGGCCGACTTGTAGATGTGGTACAAAACACCACCAGTGCAGCTGTTGTGCCAGTTCTGGAGTAACTCGAAGCCGCTTCTCCTGATGGTCCTGGAGAGGGTCAAAGACGGAGAGGAGCCACATTTGAAGAGATCGTAGTTTCAATCGAGCATAAGCCAAACCGGGTGTTGTTGACGCCATTAGGCCTAGAAGATGCTGAGCATGTCTGGCGGATACTGTGTGTCCTGGTCGAAATTTCTTGACTGCTCTGAGGATCTTCTGGATCCGTTCCTGTGGAAGAAAAATACGTCCCTTGGAAGCATCTATGGTGGCACCAATGTAGTTTACAACTTTGGAGGGAATAAGATGAGAGTTCTTGTGATTTACTGTGAGCCCCAGATTCCGTAGCACATGGAGGATGAACTTTGTGTCTTCCAGAGCTCTGCGCCTGGATGGTGAGACAACCAGCCAATCGTTGATGTATGGGAATACATGAATACCGTTCGGTCTCAGGTAAGCCGCCACAGGTGCCATGCACTTTGTGAATGTCCGGGGGGCTGTGGCGAGCCCGAACGGAAGAGCCAGGAACTGGTAAATGACATCTTGAAAGACAACTGAGAAGCTTTCAATGATCTGGATGGATAGTTATGTGGAAATACGCGTCTTTCAGGTCTATGACCACAAACCAATGTTTTCGTTTCAGCAGGTGAATGATCGACTCCAACGTAACCATCCGGAATCGGCGTGGATGAAGGTAAGTGTTTAGAGTCCTGAGGTCTAGAATGGGCCTTATTCCTCCATCTTTTTTGGGAACAGCGAAGTACCTTGAGTAGAAACCGTCTGAAATGTCTCTTTTTGGTACCTTTTGAATAGCGTTCTTTTGAAGCAAAGATCGGACCTCCTCCTCTAGAGCAGAATCAGATGATGTAAGTTGTACCTGACCGAGAGGTGGATATTCTATAAATTCCAGCCAATAGCCGGAGTGCACGATGTCTAGAACCCAGGAGTCTTGCGTAATGGTGGTCCAGTTGTGAATCAACGGTTGAAGTCTTGTGTCATGGCTGGAGGGAGACAGTACTGCTGTCGAGTCAAAGAATGTTTTTTGCTTTTTTGCAGGTTTGTAAGACTGTTGGTGGTGAGAAGACTGAGCACGGTAAGTAGGTGTCGTAGATGCGCCCTGTGATGACCTGGATTGAGACTGCCCTTTATATTGTCTGTATTGTTGAGGGGCTGGGTTGTACTGGGCCGGAGACTTCTTCCATTGGTACCTATTAAATCTAGGCCGAGGCTGAATGTAATAGGAATTAGCCATCTTCTTGGCCTTATGTAGCTCCTCAAGATGACCATCAGTTTTCTTGTTGAAAAGACCAGAGGCATCAAAGGGTAAATCCTCCATTTTGGTCTTTACGTCATCCAAAATGTTCGCGGATCAAAGCCAGGCATGCCTGCGAAGAGTCACAGAAGAAACAAGCACCCTGGCAGCAGCCTCAACTGAGTGTCTGGTAGAGATTCTCTGATGTTTGGAAACAGTCTGAGCCTCTTCAAAGGTGTTGAGATAGCCCTGTCTGACATCCTCAGGGAGCATCTTTAAACCCAGCAAAACTTTCAACCATAGCTGCTTCTGGTATGCTCCTAAGGCAGTCTGATAGTTAGCTACCCGAAGCATGAAAGCAATAAGGGAGTAAATGCGTCTGCTTATCATTTCCAATTTCTTGCCCTCCTTATTTGTTGGAATGACATGAGCCTTTCCAGATGGCTTGGTACAACTGCTCTCCACTCTTAAGGAGTTATAGATTGGATGTTTCAAGAGGAACTTAGTGTCCTCACCGTTGATCTTGTACATATTTTCCGTACGCCGAGGCAAGGGAACCGAGACTAAAGGATGGGCCCAAAGTTCTTTAATAATACCCAACAACGCCGGCAAAAATGACAAACTAGGGGGAGGGGATCGCTCCTTGTTAATATCTACGAAAATAAGGTCCTCCTCCGGAGGAGCCGGCTCATCCACGCAAAGCTTAAGTGTTTTCGCCAGCCACGACAACATCTGAGAATACGAAGAGAAGTCTTCCGAAGGTGAAGAGTCATGTGGATCACCCGTGTCCGATTCCACTGTCTCTCCCACTGGCAATTCGTCAGATTTAGGTTGCTGAGGGGTTTCACCCTCAGAATCAGAGACCTGAGAACGGGACCTCATCATCAGATGATAATTCATGCCCTCTCTTTCGATGGCGACGGTCGATGTTGAGTAACGCAGTGGTAGCGTGTTGAGGAGGTGGAGGCATGGCTGATATCGGAGGTGGAGCAATGGGAGCTTCCATATGCTGGGCCGCAGGTGGAGTTGTTTGAGGAATACTTTCAGCCTGTGCTCGATGTTGACGGCGATGTTTCCGTGGGGGGGTCGACGCCGAGGAAGACGACGAGATATTTATGTACTTCACCTGACGGCGTCGTCGATGGTGATCCGACGACATCTGTGGCGCCGCCTGTGCCTCGACCCCGAGCCTGCGAGTCATCTGATGACGATCTATGACGACGTCGAGAACGTCAATGTCTGTCCTCACTGCCTCTGCGAGGAGATCGATGTCGATCACAAGACCCGTGCCTCCGCTCCTCAGCCTTTTTCAGAGGAGGTGATGTGGGATGTACAAGCAAAGGAGAGACGGAATGAGCCGGTGATGCCCGCCCGGTGGAAATAGGGCTTAAAGGGCAAGAACCCAAGCTTGTAGTGGCTTGAACAAGCTGGCTTGGCGTCGGAGAGGGAACGCCAAGGGGTATAATCGGCTCGGTTTGTCTGGGAGGGAGCAGGGTAGCCGCCTCCGACATAGAATCTCTGTCCCTGGACGAGTCCTCCAAGATAGTGGAGGGGAGAGACGAGGATATAGGTAGTACTTGCGGGTTAGGGTCTTTGGTCTTCACTAACCCTTTGGTCTTTGCTTTTTTTCCACGCTTAGTGAAGGCTCCAGTCTTGGCAGCAGCCGATTTTTTATTTGTGGAAGGCTTCTTGGGAGGCTTCTCAGCAGGTACCTCTGAAGCCTTAGAAGTGGGTACTTGCGAAGAATTTGCGTCAGCACAGGAGGTAGCCAATGGAGATGGAAGTTCCATAGCAGATGGTTTAGATGCCGATAGGGCAGAGTCCCACAGATGTAATTTTAGTCACTGCTGTTGCGCCTTCAAGGCAGCCTTGGTAAACGCCTTGCAATGTTGGCAATTTTGCGAAGAATGCGCTTCACCAAGGCAAAAAAGGCAAGTGTTGTGCCCGTCGTGGTAGGGAATTTTCATGGAGCAGACAACGCAGCGACTGAATGGACCGGAGGGTGGATGGGGCATAGGCAAGCCTGGAAGGCAGCCGGTAAAAAGGGCGGGAAAAGTGGGAAACACTCCCCAGAGGGATAGCGAGGGAGTAAAAACGCCAAAACAGAGTCCAAATAGGCAAAAGAGTAGCCGGTGAAACACGCCAAGGCCAGAATTCGAAAAAACACGGAGAGTTTTTTTGATAGAATTTGGGAGAGCTCTAGCTGAGAACCACTTCACACGGCGGAGAAATGGAACTGAGGTTTGGGCGGGCGGAGCATGCGCAGTATAGGCAGCCTTGAACTATGTTTCTTTCTCTACAGAGCTTGAGAACATTCCGAGGAGACCAGCGCGGGCACTGACTTAACCCTTTTGTGTGCATTCACAGAAGACCACGATGAAGAATCCCCATTCTTTCCTGCTTTCTCTCCCCACACCCCATTGTTTTAAAAGGAATGAGACCTGAGAAGGAGTCTTTGTGAAGGGTCCAGATTTGCTTCTCTTCTCAGGGAAGATCTGTTTGCCTCAGGAGGCACTAGAACTTCTCTTAAGGACACTGCTTTTGCAACATACAGTACATCTCTAGTCCTTTGGGATCATTTAAACACTTTGTAACAGTACTTTATATAATCTGGGTAGACACAGAAGGAAAGCAAGAAAATTAGCAGACTATACAAAATCTGAAGTATGCAGATTTAAAGGTGGCATTTCCACACTACCCTACCACCTATGTTGCTATTGTTAAATGGAAGCATTTCAAAAGTAAACCTCATACCCCCACCCCCAATGAGATCGTTCACTTATTCTGGGTGCCTCCTCTCATTTACAGGTGATCAGTATCTCTACTGGATTTTTTTTTCATTACTCCCTTTCAAAACGAAAAGTGCATTTCAGAAGTGTCTTTTGCTGTTCAAAGATGGGAAGGCTGATAAAATCAGCATTTTGGTGTGGCTAACACTAAATATGGACAGTTTTAAGAACAGCCAGTCTGAAGAACCCACACTTGGTCAGGCACAAGATGATCTTTATGTAATCTTAGCAGCACTGTTAGAAAGCTCCATCTTTATTCTCAATCCAAAATGGACTAGTTCCACAGCACTAGCACGATGGAATCTTCCTGTTCTGTTCCCTTTCACCTGCAAACATTAGATTGACCCCAACATCTGCAGTGTAATATCTGCAGAAATAAAAAGAAATTGTATTTCTTTTTATTTATGCAAATTATGTTATGTGCTATGCTATAGGTCTAATTGTTTTTATAGTGTGTGTTGTAAGCCGCCTAGAGTGGTCACAATTGTCCAGATAGGCAAGGTATAAATGAAATAAATAAATAAATAAATAAATAAAATAAGGTTTCCTAGCCCTCCAGAACAGTATTTTCTCTTCCTGATTCAGCTGCCATGTGACTGGCGATCCAGCGCTGGAGAATGTCCCAACCATTAATCTTAGGTTTCTCTCAAAATGATATACAGTGGTGCCTCGCTTAGCGAGCGCACCGTATAACGACGAATCCGTATAGTGATCCCCTTTTTCGGGATCGCTATACGGAGCACCCAATCGCCGCACTCGCATTGCGACGATTGGGGAGTCCGGCGGCCATTTTGGAGCCGCATTCGGCGGCTCCCAAAT